TACAAATTTAAATTGATGACTCAAATTATCAATTTTATTAGAATTAATAATGGATTAATCTTTATATTAATTAATGATTAATTTATATATTTATATTCTCATTCTTAGTATCAAATAATTTATTATCAAATTTAATCTTAGGTAAAGCAAGAGAATGATATTTTGATATTCTTTAATACTATCTAAAGTAGAATCTAAGGAGATGGCAACTTATTGAAAGTAGTAATTGGTCCTCCAAACCCATATTCACCAATAATTGACATTACAATAGTTTCGCCTACTGTAATTCCTTGGAGCTGAGCTGTTCTAAAAGCATAAATAAAAGTCATCTGATTCTCTATTAATATTAATTAGATAATAAATTTGAATATCTTAGAATCTGTTTTCTATGCTATCTAATAATAATGTAGCTTTAATTAGACCAATAATGGTTACCAATATATCTTTGCCATTTAAATATTCATCCTTAATTTTGAGTACCAACATTCTCAAAGTCTGAAAGATTATAATTTTTTCTAATTAGAGGGCATTTATCTAACTCCCAATAAAATAATGTTTTTATGTACATTCATGGCTACACTATTGATTGCAGCATAGCTAATCATTATTTTGCCAATTAATACTTCTATAGCTCCTACTTTAGATAAAGATATTTATTTATTGTACATCTACAATAGAGTTTTCTTTATAATATCCATCTTTTGTAGCTGCATCTCATCTGATTTGTTTGCCTTATTTTAGCACTTCTTGTATATGATCTGTCTACTCTCATTGTTTATGCTTCTTTAACAAATGCTTAAAAATATTATTTTACTTTATTTTTATCGCTCAAAGTTCCATAACAACATGCTTATCGTTGATTATGATATGCTAATATTTGATTATTTTTGACTAATATCAATGCAATTCTAGTTTATTTACATATTACTTATATTATGTGCATCTGCATAATTGCAATATCTATCTTAAATTTTAGCCATTTTATAATGAACTTCAAATAGTTCTTTTACCAGTATAAGTCTTCAATGCTCCTAATCCTGAATATAAAATATTAATAATATAGCAATTTTAGCTCATTAAACTCTAAATATTTATTCAATATCATTACATTAATAATGAAAATCATACCAAACATATTTAGTATTTATTGTTTTAAGTGTTCTCAATTAAATAAAAAACAACAATTTAGAATATAATAATAATTAAGTCCTTCTCTTATCATTCATTAAGTATTAAATTGAGAATTATTAACCATTCTTTATCGAATAGATTAGAAAAATAAAATTCATAACTTAAATATTGATTCATCTATATTAATGATATCAAGTTTAAATAAATAGTATTACTCATTTAATATCTCATTTAAAACTAAAGCAAGAAACTTATCTTAGTTATATCTAATATTGTTTTTTGTAATATTTAACTAACAAAATCAACTTCTGTTCCTAATAACAAATATGACTAATTCTGTATTCACATCATACCATAAAGTGCAAATAATCTTATAGATGTTTTTGATTTTTGTTCTTGTATAAATTATGTGTTAATTTTTGCTACAAGTCCTATATTTTAGTAACTTGAATTGTAATTTCAATTAGATATAATCTTTAAAAGTCTCTAACAATCTTTTTATAGGAAACAAATGTTTGTATCAGCTATTTGTTTTAATTAACTGATTAATAATATGTTATTCATGACTATTTTATGAAATAATTAAGTGAAAATCTAAATTAATATTCAATATCTTGACTAATATTATTCAAAACTATACAAATATATTTTAGCTTAAATATCATTTGATTATAAATACTTAAATAATTGTACAAACCAAAAATTATAACTTTTTTTTTAATCAAAGCTTAACTGTTTTATAAGATAAGTATGTTTTTTCAAATACCTAATAAAATTATCAAGAACTTATGATGATTAAGATATACTCTTTAGAATAGTTCCAATCCTCTATTTTCAAATACATTTGTGTTTATTTCTAATTTCAATATATAATAATAATAATAATTTACAACTAAAATAGAAAGAAGGAAGAAGATATGATAATATATATTCATTATTTTTAGATTTCCACCTTATTTTAACCATTTTTTTTGTTACTATAAGCCAATAATTTTATTTTCTCCCAGATAATATATTTGTACAATCTATTGTTATTAAAATGAATTTTCAAGTCACTAATTCATGTTCAAAAAGTTTCAACTAAGGCGAATATTGAACATATATAGATAATTTACATCTATATTCATAATATTTACTTCTTTTGAACAGATGCATTTTCAAAATAATACGGAAAGCTTATACTATTTTTGAACAAATTTAATCAGGAAATTTTCTTTAAATTTATATTTTGATTAATACCTTACATTAAATTTATATAATAAAGTAGAAAATACTAATAAAATAAGAAAGGGATATTATTTTGATATTTATTAATACGCCAAGTATTTTAAATCAATAATTGAAAAATTTTATAATAATATAAAACAATTATTCTAATTGGAAAAAAAAGATTAGAAAATAAAAGTAATATCTAATCAACTTATTTGTAAATTATATGGTGTTGAGTTTGAAGATGAAATATAGTAACATAAATCATAATAATTTATGGAATACCCTCTCCTGTTTTATAAATAATGCCAGCCATGAGAAATTGTTGCTATCTCAAATTGAATTCTACTGCTTTATTTAATGAAAATTTAACCTAAGAAAATTCTTTTCTGGGTAATTGGAAAAAATAGTTTTTAACTACTTCTTCAAAATTAATTATCATTTACATTTTTGAGTATAATAAACTATAAGAAATGATAAAAAAGTTTGATGAATTTACCAATATCAAATTTACATGTACTCATAACAATAACAAATTGAAGTAAAAGTTTATGGAATTGTAGAATAGAGATGTTTTTTATTTGGGTTATTAGGAAAAATTTAGAATTAAAAAAAATAGACAGAGCCATACGTTACTTATAATAAGTAAGAGGTTAATAATCATTATTATAAAATAAAGAACCCACAAAAGAATGAAAAATTTTTAAAAATATAAACTTTTATAAAATTTAGATCTTGGCTAACCTAATGGCTAATTTAAGAGATTTTAAGATCTAACAAAAGAGAGAACGATATATAATAAAAATTTTCAAGTATTTTAAGATTTGTTTAAGAATTAAAGGAATCTTATATATTAATATAATCCATAGAATCTCAAGTAATAAGAATAAAATCAATGGAGATTATATTTTCATTGTAATTGAATATTAAAATCTATTAATCACTATTAATGGATATATTGTAAGCATTTAATTTCTTAAGAAAGATGGTTGGGAAGAAAGAGTTGTACTAATAACTACAAGTAAAATTATTTAATATTTGATGATTATATTCTAAAATTTGAATAAGTTATTCTTTAAAACATCACTTAACTTTTCCATGCATTCAAATTTATTAACAGAAATAGAATCTTTTGATTAAATAATGTTTCGTTTTGAAATTTATATCACTTAAATCCTTTCCTCAATAGAGTAGTTAATACTAATGATTTGAGAACTTTTCATTATATTGAGATCACCTCCCTATTTCTACCTTTTTCACCATATTCTTTTTTAAGAACAAAAAGTGTTGGAATCACTCTTAACAACAATATCATAAAATCAGAGAGAAATTATATCAACATAGCAAACATTCACATAATTAATTACAAATAAATTCTTCACTTGTATAGAAAAATACTATTTAATTATTATGAATGGATAATCAATTAAATTAAGAGAATATTTAATAAGATTTTACAAAAAGATAAAAAATAAAATAAAAAAGATCAACTAAGATTTATATATTAAGAAGATATTCGAAAGTCAAATATTGCAACTCAAATTTACGATATAAATATGAAGTGCAAATATTTT